CCTCCTGGAACAGGGACCTCTGGCTGACTAGATTTACCAGAAGGGCAGACAGGGGGAAATGGATGAGGGTGCTGACAACACAGTGGACAGTGACAGGGGTGGCAGAGTATGGTGCCTCTAGTGGGAGAGGAAGGCTGTCTATCTGACGAGTTTGTATTCATGCTCAGATGCCAAAGAGCTCAGAAAGTGGGCAATTGTCACTAGTAATAATCAGATATATAGAGATTAGAAATGCATGAGCAAACTTCTTAATGTCAATTGCACTGAAAGTGAATTTTTCTGTATGAAGCTGTATATTTTAATAATGAAATGGAGATCTTTTTAAAGGTTAAAACTTCATTTAATTTTATGTTTAATAGAGTTTATACTGAGTACAATATTTTATAACTGCAATAATTCAACTGGAAACCATAAAATTTGCAGCCAATTTTGAAAGAGATGCATCTTAGCTCAGGAAATTGTTATTGAATATTTCAATGCTGTTGTAATGAAATGTTTCTTTTAAGTATGTGGTTATCAAATAAATAATTAAAAACTAAAATAAAAATAAATATTAAAAAATAAAGTAAAAAAAAAAATCTCAATGAAATGTTTCCTCTAAGTATGTGGTTATTAAATAAATAATAAACTGGAAAAAAATAAATATTGAAAAAAAAGAACATGCTAGACTTTATTTGCCCTTTTCAATAAAAGATTAAATAATCAAATATATATGTAAATAAATATAAATCCTCAGGGCTGGAAAGATGGGTCAGGGGTTAAGAGCACTTACTGGCTGCTCCTACAGAGGACCCGGGGTCAAATCCCAGCACCCACATGCCAGCTAACAACCATCTGTAATTCCAGTTCCAGGGTATATGACGCCCTCTTCTGATGTCTGTAGGCACTGCAGAACATGGGTGCATTTATATACATGCAGACAATACACTCATACACATAAAATAAAAATAATAAAGGCCAGGTGTGATGGTGCATGCCTTTAATCCCAGCACTCTGGAGGCAAAGGCAGGCAGATCTCTGTGAGTTTGAGGCCAGCCTGGTCTACCTAGTGAGTTCCAGAACAGCTGGGGCTAAAGGGATACTCATTTAAAAAAAAAAAAAAACTTAAAAAATATATATTAATCTTCAAAAAATAATTCATGAGAGCTTTATCTGAGAGACATATTTTATCAATGTTTTCTAATTTATTTATCTTATAATAAGAAACAAATATATCAGAATGTGATTCCTGACCTCAAGCTGTTTTGAAAACAATCCACCAGTACCTTGGAAAATAATTTATACAAAATTATAGTACCATTTATCTACATATCTGTATATCCATCTTTGCTCTATAAACTTTCACCAACTAATTCTCTTGGGTCAAGCTGGGACTACATATGCATGCCACCAAGCTCAGCAGAATGCTAATTCTATAAAGGCTAGAATCATATCTTATACCAGATCTTGGCAAAATGGTATGCATGTACACAAACATCCTTTCTATATACCATAACAGACACTATGGTGACATTCAACATGGATTGAATACATTTTCTTTCCATCAACACTTTAGAATAACATTCTGTATAAATGCAATGAAAACAAGACCATGAAAGCAGAGATTATAAGTACAATTAAGAAGAGTACAGCTTGGTGGCACCTACCTGTGATGCTAGCATTTGGGTGGAGAAAGATCAGGCAAGCACAGGCTACATGAAATCCTATCTCAAACACACACAGAAGAAATCAAAGACATCAAAGAGGAAGTAGAAACATATGCAAGACTTTGAAGGACAATTAAGATACATGCAAGTTAGCAAAGAGAACAAGGAAGCACGAACACTGATAAACGTTTAATGTTAATCCTCGGGGATGCCTCTTTATTTATTCTCCTTTATTTTTTTATTTTTTGACAGGGTCTCCTATAGCTCCAGTCTACCTGGAACTCACTATGTAGACCAGGCTGGCCTTGATCTCACAGAGATCCCCTGCCTCTATCTCCTGAGTGCTGGGACTAAAGGCGTGCACCACCATGCCCAGCATTATTCTCCCCCTTTAAATTAATACAGAATTAATAAATGTTTTCTACATACTTTAATCTATTTTATACAGAATCCATAAATGTTTTCTACATACTTTGATCCATATAAGCTCCTGTAGACAGACAAGCTCCTGTATAGGCCCCTGGTTGGAGCTGTTGCTGATTGGTCACTGCTACTCTACAGAACACCAAACTTCATGGGCTGGAGAGACAATTCAGCAGGTAAGAGCTCATGCTGCTCTTCCAGAAGACCAGAGTTCAATTTTCAGCAACCATGCTGGGCTGCTCACAACTGCCTATAAGCCCAGTTCTTGGGGAGACCCAATGCCTCTGGCCTCTGCAGGCACTTGCACATACCCAGGAACCCCCCCGCCCCACCACACACACACATACACATAATTAAAATCTTTTATTTTGATTTTATGTGTACGAGTGTTTTGCCTACATATAACTACACCACATGAGTGCAATGTCTCTAGAAGCCAGAAGAGGGCATTGGAGCCCCTGGAACTGGAGTTAGATGGTTGTTTAGCTGCCATGTGGGTGCTGGGAGCCAAACCCAGGTCTTCTGGAGAAGAAACCAGTGCTCTTAACTGCTGAGCCATCACTCCATTCCTTAAAAATCTTTTTTTCTGCCAGGCGTGGGGGCACATGCCTGCAGTCCCAGCACTTGGGAGGTGGAGGCAGGCGGATCTTTGTGAGTTCAAGGCCAGCCTGGTCTATATAGTGAGTTCCAGCACAGCTGGGGCTACTGGGAGACCCTGTCTCAAAAAGACCAAAAAAAAAAGAAATTTCATGTCCACCATAATTTGGCTCTACTTTTATGGTCTTTTTTTTCTCATCACATTTCATCCCAATTTGTTCAATAATCCATCATCCATTCATTCATTTACTGTCTACTAAAATATAGTAAGATGAAAAACACAACCTCTACCCTCAGGAACTTATAGAGTAGAAGAAACAAACACAAATTATAAAAGAAAATGGTAAGAGCAATGACAGAAGTACTCAGAAGAATTTAAGGGAACACAAAAAACCACCTTAGCTAAGGCAGGAAGGAAGGGGAAATTTAAGATGGATCTTTAAGCATTAGGAGGAGCTTACCATGTAAGGTGGGAGCAGCAAAAGTCATCCTGGACAGCATGGACATTAGGATGTGTTTATTCACTCACACACACACACACACACACACACACACACACACACACACACAATAATCCTATTGATGAAGTATAGTAAGAGTCTGAACCTAGACCAAAAACAAGCTAGAGGTAAAGTTGTTTTGAAAACAACTTTGACATAAGCAGAAAGTAGAGCGTCACTGAGGGATTTAAAGTGTTTCTGTGAGGCAGTGAGAGAAATAAACTGACTACAGAACAAGAGAGAAAGACCAGATAGTCAGGGGGGACATGTAAGAAAATCGTTACCAGCGGGCGTGGTAGTGCTCTCTTTTAATCCCAGCACTTTGGAGATAGAGGCAGGCAGATCTCTTGTGAGTTCCAGGCCAGCCTGGTCTATATAGTAAGTTCCATGCTAGCCTGGTCTACATAGTGAGATCCAGGCCAGCTGGGGCTACAGAGAGACATGGTCTCGAAAAAACAAAACAAAACAAAACAAAAAAAAAAGTTACCACAGTTCAAACTAGAAGATTGAAACCCTCCATCAAGATTTTTGATGATAGACCACAAAAGGAGATACAGCCAATAAATATTAATGGAAACAGGATGAACTGAATTTGGATGGATATAGTGGTAAAACAAAGAAAGAGTAATGTAATAACTTCAAGGCATACAGCTTAATCATTTGAGTGATGTGCCATTAATTGAGTCTGTAAACACATCGAAAGACAGAAAGGACACCTGTTCTTGAGGTGTCCAGGGACAATTTCCAGAAAGAAGATGTATACATTAGCCTGCAACTCGGCAGAGAGGTGTGGAATTCAGGTCTGGCCATTAGTTCTATCTCGGTATTAGAAAATGTTTCCAAATTCAGGCATGAAGATCATGTCAGTATTCCCAAATTCCGGTGGCTAAGGAAAGAGGTTCAAGAATTGGAGTCCAAGGGCTGGAGAGTTGGCTCGGCGGTTAAGTGCACTGACTGCTCTTGCAGAGAACCTGGGTTCGATTCCCAGCACCCACATGGCAGCTAACAACTGTTCTAACTCCAGTTCCTGGGGATCTGACGCCCTCTTCTAACCTCTGTGGGTATTGAAGGACACGGGTGCACTTATATACAAGTAGGTAATACACTCATACACATAAAAATAAATATATTTTTAAAAAAGAATTGGAGGCCAGCCTAGACTTCATAGCTAAACACTCTCCTGCCCACCCCCCACCTCCCACCCCACCCCCCACATGCACACAAGAAAAAAGATGAGCAGGAAGCCACAGATGAAGAAATACAAGTAGCCAGTAGAGCAAGATCCAACAGAATGACAAGAAGAAAACCAAGCAGATCTGGTTTGTCATCTCCACTATACCAAATGCTGCAGAAAAGAACTTCCACGTATCTCCAGTTCCAGGGGATCCGACGTCCTCTTCTGACCTCCGCAGGCATTGCACGACACCGGTGCACTTCCATACATGCAGGTAATACTCAGACACATAAAATGAAATAATAGTAATAGCAATAACTCGAAAGAGTGTGGCAAGACCAGGGCGAACGCGAGGGACTCACAGGAGCCTGCAGTCTCCCTGGGGGTCGTGGAGGGGCCGGAATCGGCCACCCCAGACATGGTGCGGGCGCTGGTCCTGGGGCTCTGCGGAGTTGAGCCCAGGCCCCTGCTGCCGCGGCGGTCTTCGCTGGCTCCCGCGCACCGGCCACCCCTGCGGCTGCGGCTGGACGCTTGGTCGTGGCTGGCGCGGGCCCCGCGGTCCTCCCTGCGCTCCCAGGAGCCCCGCGAGCGCGACTCTTCTTCGCTCTCACCCTCCCAGAAGCCACACAGGCGGCCCGCGTCTTCGCCTCCGCTCACTGGGGAGGAGCCACTGGCCGCGTAGCCCCAATCATCGCTGACTCCGTCCCAGGAACTGCTGGGGCAGCGGCTGCCGGCGTCACTCGCTCCCTCCCAGGAGTTGCTGCGCTCGTCGCTGCCTCCGTCCCCGGAGTCGCTGGTTCGCGGCTCTTGGGCTTCGGGAACAGAGATCCAGAAGACCCTCGGGGTGCTGGGGTGCGGGCCTGCGGGCTCCCCGAAGGTCGCGTCGCTACCGCGGACGCGGCGGTCCCCCGTCGCTCTCGCCCAACTGCTCGGCTCGCGACTATCGCGTCCCCTCCCTCTCTCCGGAGAGACCCTGCGGTGGTGGCCGAGGTCTTCGACTCTCCTCGACTCCCTGCGGGAAAAGCCGCAGTCCTCGGCGCCTCTTCCAGTGGAGACCCTGGGGCGGCGGTCGCCTTCTTCGGGGTTTCCTTCCCTGGACTCTCTCCGACCGTGTCCCACCTCCTGGACGCCAAGGTCCCGGCCCCGGCGCCGCGGTGGCTGGGCAGACCGCGGTTCACGCAGGTGCGGTGGCCGCCGTCGTCGCCCTCTCCTCCCCACCGGTATACCGCAGAGGCGACGGCCGCCGTCGGCAGGAAAGCTCTCCACAGAATAGCTTTCCAGCGTCCCGACTCCCGGCACCTGACCGCTGAGCCGTCGCCTTGGAAACAAGTACACTTCCTGCGTGTGTGGTCACTTCCGGATCCTCGAGGTTGCGTCACTTCCTGCTTCCTTCCTTTCACCTTTTTCAAGGCTTCAGCAGTGCAGAGCTGTGGGACGCTAATACCGACGCTTGTTGGGTGAGATTCTCGGTTTTGCTTGTTTTCCTGCGAGCCGCTTTAGGCCGGTCTCCGGCCGCTAGCCACGGAGCGCTCCGCCGTGGGAGGTGGACTTCCCAGGTGCAGCTTGCGTAGGTGACGTGTGTGTGTGTGTGTGTGTGTGTGTGTGTGTGTGTGTGTGTCGCCCGCGTCGGGAGGGGCCTTTCCGTCCTTGGCGAGCCTGGTAGACTTAAGTGTTGCTTTGGAAGAAAGTCTCTTTTTACCCTACCACTTCACAAAAAGAGAAAGAGACCTAAAAGGGAGCTTAGTCGCTGTAGCTGCTGTCATTGTTGAATACTTAGTGCGGGACTCTTGGATGTTCCCTTGGTAGGTGTTCTGTCCATGTGCAGGTCGACACACAAGGTATCAGTAATTTGCTAAGACCAAGCAGCAGGTAAGTTATAAAGGTATTATAAAACAGCAGTCTTTACTCTAAAGACTGTTCCGGACGTTCTGCTTCCAAGCTTGCCAAGGTTTCTTTCGCTGTAACGTTGTTACTTTTAACAGCTTGACCCAGATCTTTCTCTTCAATTCTGTTGCTTAACATGTATTCTTCCATTTCAAGATTTGCTACAAATATTTGGGTCAGGTTTTGTGCTGGCAGCTCAAATAAGCGTCATCCACTTATCCACTTTGCTTTCCCTTCGCAGCCCGATTTTTGCACACTTGCCTTACCAACACATACTTTTTCCCGTCAAGAATAATGAACTGGGGTCCTGGAAACAAAAACTTTCTCCTATCTGTGTGTTTGAATGTGTCGTTTCCCCCTAAGAAACAACGCAGCCCTCACCAGAGTTTTGTTCTGTTCTTTTTTTTTTAATATTTCATTATTTTAAGTGTATGAGTGTATTGCCTGCATGTATGTGAGTGCACCCGTGTCGTGCACTGCCGCCGAGGTCAGGAGGACTTCGGATTCCCCTGGAACTGGAGTTAAGGACGGTTTGTAGCCACCATGTGGGTGCTGGGAATCGACCCAGGTCTTCCGCAAGAGCAGCCAGTGCTCTTAACAGCTGAGCCATCTCTCCAGCCCCTGTTCTGTTCTCTTGAGGCTAATTCATCTTCTTTATCATAGCCTTTTTAATAGTAGTGACTCACATTTAGTGAGTTTGTAGAATCAGCCTGACATTGCATTAAGTGCTTTGTATCAGTTTTATTTCTAAAGCTTTCTTGAAATAGATGCTTAATTTTTCCATTCTAGTATAAAGAAAAGCATCAAAGTTAATTGCCTGAGGATACACAGCTAGTAAGGAATGCCTGAATTAGGATTCCTACCTACATCCTTGATTTTGCTGCCCATTCTCCTCAAAATCTGGTTTCTCACAGCCTTTATTAGATCACATCACATTGTATTGTAATTATCTACTTAGCAGTTGGCCCTCACCCTCTTTCTAAGGACCTGGAGCATCTGGAAGGTAAGAACTTAATCTTCAGCATCTCGATGTTCCTGACATCTAGAATATTTACTTCAAGGGAACGGCTCACTTTAGTAGCTTGTGATTGTGTGGGCTGATCAGTTGATTGTCAGGTGAATGAACTGATAGACTGAAAATAAAGTTTTTTGCTGTTCGCATGTGGGATTAGTCATTCCAATCTCCTTATTCTTTAGAAACGGGACATCTGAGGTCTTTGTTAGACATTTTTGAGTTATGTGTACTTAATGAATTTAAAATAATTTCAAATCTGTATTTTTATCTTTTTACAGATGAAGAAACAATTCAGATTTGACCAAGATGACATGTAGGAGTTGGGGAATTGGAACCTACTATGACTGACTCCAAATACACAGATACAGTGCTTATAGCTACTTGCATATAGTAAAGGCTCTACTTTATTTTATTTATTTTTTGCTATGCTATAGAGTAGATAAACCAATGAGGGGATAAGGCAGCATTTGACAAATACTTAAAGGTTATAGCATGGCAAAAAGAAAAAAAATTAATATAGCAAAGAAACAAAGTAAAAAGGTGGCTCAGCAGTTAAGAGCACTGACTACTCTTGCAGAGGACCTGGGTTTGATTCCCAGCACCCACATGGCGGCTGTGAACTGTCCTTAACTCCAGTTCCAGGGGAATCTGAACAGCCCTCTTCTGACCTCCATAGCATTGCATGACATAGGTGCACTCACTTACATGCAGGCAATACACTCATACACATAAAAAAAAATATTAAAAAAAAATCTAACTTCAAAGGAACTAGAAAGTAAATTTTAAAATAATTCAACAATGAAATTGATCACAAAATACCTGGCATTTAAAAACACAATTACATACATACACATAAAATAAAAATAATTGGAAAAAAAGACCAGTAGAGCAAATCTGAAGAAGAGGAGAAAAAAACAGTATTGGAAACAAGAACATGTTATAGATATGAATGTCTTTAAAAGTCAGAATTTTTTCTTTTCTGTGTATAAGTGCTTTGCCTACATGTATATAAGTGTACCACATGTATGCAAGGCCACAGAGGCCAGAAGAAGGCATCAGATCCCCTGGAAGTGTAGTTACAAACAGTTATTAACCACAATGTAGATGCTGGGAATTGAACCTAGGTCCTTTGGAAGAAGAGCAAGTGTTCTTAACCGCTGAATCCAGAAATAATTCTTTTACATAGCCTTATACTAATAATTTAAAAGATTGACTTGGACAGTACTCTAGGAAGATATAACTTTGTAAAAGTTGGCTTAAGAATTATAAAATCTTAACTAGTGATCATAAAAGTACATGTAATTATCCCTGACAGAGAGGACCAGGGAAAAAGCAGAATGACAGTGCTCCCCAAATAAGAAGGTAGCATAGCCCTAACCTTTTTTAGATGTGTATTACTTGGGAACCAGCAACTATGTAAAGTCTTCTAAGGAACATCTGTAAAGAATGACTTAAGTTTTACTACATTTATCATATGAGATAGTACAAAGAGACAGCCAGATGGCTTAAGCGGCTGTTAAAGCCCTTGGGAAACCTGCGGACTGAGTTGTATCCCCTGAAACACACAGAAGTGGAAGGAAAGGACTGACTCCCAGAAGTTCTTCTCTTACCTCCACACATAACTGGCATACATGCACCTGTACTCACATGTACATACTCAGTATTTTTTCAAAAAATTAAAAAGGATGAGAAAATAGAAAATTGGTAGAAGTTCAGATCTACAGGTATTAATAGCAGTATAATAAATCACCAGTTGGGGGGAATACAAAATACATGTGATCTTATTTCATTTTTAAAAATTGTAAGTTTGGAAAAAATCTACAAAATTAACTCAGCAATTACATTATAGAGCAAGAAAAGTGGGGGAGAAGATGTATTTTTTTGTACTTGTGTTTTTGAAAAATCCTTAGTAAAAAATACAAAAACAGAAAAATTCACTGTCACATAAAGCAAATGATAGTTTGAATGACTGATGGTCTGCAATAGGTTTAAGAGACCAAGAAAAAGTACCCTGGTTTTTGGCAAAGCCATTGATATATCAGGAGAGCAGTTTTAATAAAACTTGAGACGCCAAAAAATGGATTGCACCGGATTTCAAGGTAAGTGACTATAAAAGAAGTTCCTCAGTTGAAACAAGCTTCTGAATTCATGTGGAGTGGACATAACATTCCAGAGGATAGGAATGACAGTTCCAATTTGTGAAAATGATTAGTCCTCCACCACTTTATCAAGAGAGGTTAAAGCAGGCTAATCTCCCATAAGTCAACGCTGCATATAGTTTCAGAGGAACCCAGGCTAACTAAGCAAAGTGAGTTTATTTTTTGAGGATTTCATACAACAGTATATCATTTCTACCCTCCCAACTCTTCCCACATCCTTCTCAATTTCTTACTTCTGTTACACACCACATATAAAAAACACACTTAGTCCATTTAGTGATTTTCAATAACCATTTTCTATTCCTTTGTACTTCTATATTCTATAAACTTGTTTTAAATAAGACAGTCTCATTATTTTGCTCTAACTCCTGGGCTCAAGTCATCCTGCTGTCTCAGCCTCCCAAGTAGCTAGGACCACTGCATACGGTTCTGCCCATGTATTCCTCTTCTGAGATACTTTTCTCCCTTTGGTGCCTACCACATTCTCATCTGGGACATCTTATGGATAATTCTTGATTCATCTATCGTTTGCTTGCCCAAGAACATGCTCAATATCTCAGGAAACTGCACTCACCACAATGCTCATGTAGAAGTCAGAGGATGACTTGTGAGGATCAGTTCTCTGTTCCAAGAATCAAACTCAGGTCATTAGGCCTGGTGGCCAACAGTTCTCTGTTCCAAGAATCAAACCCAGGTCATTAGGCCTGGTGGCCAACACCTTTACCCACCTGAACATCTCACTGGCCCACAAATTGAAGCCATTCTTGACAATATCTAATTTCCCATTCCTCCCCCTGCCATTTTTCTCACTTTGGAGAGCTCTATCACTGAGCTGCAGCTCCAGCCCTTGATGATTTGGGTCCTACAGTCTAGGCTGGCCTTGAAGTTAACCTCCTAATTCTGTCTTAACAAGGGCTAGGATTACATTTGTATACCATCACAACCTGATCAGTTTCCCTTCTTTTTCAGTCAACTGTCTACTTGCAGGTATAGATGCCTCTTTGGAATTTCCTGAGTAACTTATTAACCTCTTTTAGTGTTTTGTTTGACACTAGGCTGTAATGTGAACCACCCAGCCAAACAAGTAAGTAGACTATAATTCTAAGCTGTTAAGAATATATATATATGTGTGTGTATGTATATATATAGTCCTTCCCAAATATTTAACAGTATTTAGTGCAATTGCTTTGTATTTTCCAGATCATCAGAGTTGGAAGTTCTAAGTAGGAAAATGACATTAAAACCAGGGCATCGTACCTGAAATCTCTACATTTTAGAACATAAACAGTACTTTTTTTTTTTTTTTTTTTTTTTTTTTTTTTTTTTTTTGGTCTTTTTGAGACAGGGTCTCCCTGTAGCCCCAGCTGTCTTGGAACTCATTATGTAGACCAGGCTGGCCTTGAACGCACAGAGATCTGCCCACCTCTGCCTCCCAAGTGCTGGGACTACAGGCATGCACCACCATGCCCGGCTAAACAGTATTATTTTTATGTGATCTCAAAAACTTCCAACTTTTTCATGTGAATACATACCATGTATGTATGTATGTGTACCACATGCATGCCTGGTTTTCTTGAAAGCCAAAATACGGGATCAGATCCTTTGGAGCTGGAGTTAACAGGCAGTTTTTGAGCTGCCTGATGTGGGTACTGGGAATTGGTAGCAAGTGCTCTTAGCCATTGAGCCATCTCTTCAACTCTTAATTCAGATGTTCCATCGTCTGAGAATTCCTCAGCTTGTATGAGCACAATGTAGTTAACTATTTTTAGCTCCAGTGCTGTGTGTAGACCAGAAACATCATCTTTGTAATCTAAAGTCTAATGTTGCTGATTTCTAGTTGGTTACTGTTCTCTTCGAAGTTCATTAGTCAGCTTGGAAGTTCTTAGGAGATGGCCTTTAATGAGACTCTTAATTTACACTGCAAGTAACTCTAAAAGGACAGCTAAATTAGGAGATCTAGGTCACTATTTCTCATGTAGCCTCCTGTCAAGGAGAAAATGGGAATTAAACTGTTGATTCCAAATGTGAATACCATTGGCCATCCCAGAAGAGCTATCCTTTCTGGATCCCAATGTATGTTGTTACATTTCATTCCATCATCCTTGCTTTAAGTTCTTAAGAGATTTCTTCACTCGCTTCATTCTTATACAGAATTCCTGTAACTTCCTGAGCTTTTTAATTGTTAGTTTCATTTTCAATAGAGTAGCTCTCAGAGTTTCATTACCTTCTGTCCATACTACCAGTACCAACTGGTCTAAGGCACCCATATGTAAGTTTTCTTAGGTTAATGGGCCGTTTTCTTAATCTTTCCGTATTTTTGTAACTTACCTACCAATCACTTTTTCCCTCCATTGCTAATTCTCCTCACTCACCCACCAGCATTTTCTTCCACAAGGACCTGTTCTTGGCCCTCACCTTCCGTTTAAAAATGGGTACTCTTACATGTATAGATTTTGAGTGTTGCTTTTTTAACATCCTATACCTCTAAGCATTTGATAGTACTTATTGGTGGTCTCCCAAGAAAAATGTACAATAGGAGATCTACCCTGTTACAGGATTCAGACTCCCAACACTTCTTCCACAGTAATGATCATGCATAACATCAGTCATGCTGTCACATAATGCATTTATAATTTGCTGACCTCATAGAGACTTAGTTTTAAAACTTAATGCATTTTGTGCATTTGACAATCTCTTTAAACTTGTATTCATTTGATCTTGGGCGGGGGGTACCCTTGGATGATATAATATAGGATGTTACTTCTGTTTAAAATGTCTAGTGACTGCCCTGAGACTCCGTGTAATACAGGCTCCTTAGAAATCACTGGTATGCCTGTTTCTATTTTAGCATTTATCTTGGGGTTATCTTTTTGGTGGTGGCGGTAGTGTGTATTTTGCATACGTGTATGTATGTGCACATGCCCGCAGTGCCTACAGAGACCAAGGAAGGTGTCAGCCTGATGTGGGTGCAGGAGCAGTAATTGCTGTTAACGACTGAACCATCTTCTTTAGCCCCTCTTTTTAGGTGATTTTTTTTTTCATTGCATAAACAGTGAAGTAAGACAAAGCCAGGTTAACATTCTTGTATTTTTGAGGTGAGTGGCTAAATTTTATTCATAAACTAGAGATACCAGATAGCCTTGGGTGAAGTGACCAAAGAAGTTAAATGAAGAAAGCCTCCAAGTAGTGGATGCATAATAAGCTATGACTGAATATTTTATGTACCTACCCCCTGTAAATGGAAAAGATTTTAACTAGGAATGCCTGGCTCACAGCACATACAGCACTCAGGTTTTAAAGCACATGAAAGAGATAAGAAAAAAGTCACATTCCATGAAATAACTACAAACAGGGAGATTCTTCATCATTCTATTTATTACACATATGAATATTAACATCTCTTGGTATCCATCTAATTCAATCAAAACCAACAAAGAAAAGTTAACCATGTTTTATATGAACATTCTTATACAGAATTTCTGTAACTTAAAATAGAAATAGGTTCATCTGCATTAAATCGCTTGACAATTTAAAAAATATCTTTAAAAAAAAAAAAACCACTTCTAGTACTTAAATATATTTGTTAATTGCTTGATGGCATCAGTGTCCAAGTTTAAGAATAAAAGTTGCTGCTTCATTAGGTATATTCCAAAAATGTACATCTGGATGGTTCTCTTTAGCTGAAGATACATATCTATATATGTAAGCCAAGTATGTCCTACTGTTTTTAAATTTTTCAAATCTAATTTTGAACTCTGCTTCTTTAAATCTTGGGAAGCTACAAAAAAAATCTTATGTTGAGGTTGCTGTTCACGTCCATTCTTACCCAATAAAAAGTACAGAAACACTGTCTTTATTTGATGGTGTGCATAAATATTACACTCCATGGATAGCAAAAATATTTTTATTTATAATTTACAGTTTCACAAGTGAAAATCGTACATTTTTACACATACAATTTCATTTTGTTAAATTTGCACACATCTACAGAACTTTCACATAACAAGCACCTGAAACTGTGCAGGCAGTAGGAAATGCAAATACTAAAATGTATTTATTAACCAAATGATAGCTGAAGGCCCTGCCTCAGCTAGACAATTTATATAGATATGTCTATATATACATAAGAATTCACCTTCTACATCCAACAGCAGCTTTTGTTAAAAAAGAAAAACATACCTTTCTTATTTTATTTAAACTGACTCGACTGTATCATTTTCTGTTTTAATTTCAGTGGGTGTTGCTATGCTTTCTTCTGTACAAGCTGGTGGGGTATCAATTTGTTCTTCCTTAACTTTGGGACTTTCACAGGGTTCCTGCAATTCGTTTTTGACAATGTTCAACATAATGTTCAAAGGGTTTTCCACTGGTGTCTTGCTTGGAGATGGTGTACAATCAAAAGAAGATGTCTACAAAATGAAAAGCCCTATAAGTACTGGTGAAGGTTCAAACTAAACAGTTTTATAGACCCTTAGGTTAAGAAAAAGGAACACACACACCAAATTCAACTATAATGCCTGTTTCCTACAAGTTATAAAATTGAACTGAACATTCAGTGTGTTCAGAAATGAACAGTACATTAATAGGGCTGTTAACATATATACCACTGAAAGAACTTAGACATACTTCAGTATTCAACTGTTAGAGGGCATCCCCTACAAATATTACCAGGGTGTATGTGTGTGTGTCTGTCTCAATTTTAAATACCCTAGGAATTTTTAATTCCGCACATCAAAAATATCCCAGGAATCTAATCTGATGATTTAAATATATCTTCTAAACTGCAAACATGAGTAGTCAGTGTGCTCCACTGAATCAAACATAGGTTAAACAACAAAAAAGACAACAAATACAATAATTTGAGTTTCTAAGACCACTAGAATGGTGTGTTTCATATTTTACAAGTAATCACTTTTGGGAAAAAAATCACTGGGGCTGGGATGAGGTAAGAAAGTGCTTGCCATGAAAGCATGAGGATGACCTGAGTTCAAATCCCCAGAACCCACATAAAAGCCAAGTATAATAGCATGCAAGTCTGTAATCTCAAAGATGGAAAGCAGAGACAGGAGAATTTGGAAAAATCTCAGGCCAGCTAGCCTGGATTACATTAAAAACGAGACCCTGACTCAAGGTGAGGGATCAACATGCAAAATTATCATCTGGCCACCACACACATCCTATGGCACACACGCAATCCACATGTCAATACATGTGAGTGCACAAATACAAATTTTTTTTTTGTAATTTTTCTGGAGCTGGAGAGATGGTTCAACAGTTAATAGCACTAACTGCACTTGCAGAGGACTTAGGGGTTTCATTCCCAGGACCCACATGGCAGCTAACAACCATCTTGTAATTCTAGTTCCAGGGGATCTGATGCCCTCTTCTGACCTCCATAGGTATTGCATGACGGGTAGATTTACATACATGCAGGCAATACACTTAAACACATAAAATAAAAATAGTAAAATGTATGCCAGGTGTGGTGGTGCACGCCTTTAGTTCCAGCACTTGGGAAGCAGAGGCAGGCAAATCTGTGAATTCAAGGCTAGCTGGGACTACCAGGAGACGCTGTCTCAAAAAAAGACCAAAAAAAAATTGGTGCTAGGCATGGTGGTGCACACCCTTAATCTGAGTGCCAGGCCAGCCAGCAAAGACTACATAGTGAGACTCTTGTCTTAAAAAAAAAAAAAAAAATCAATTCCTGTATTACATATGTACTGCTTAGCTAAGAATAAAGTAAATTGGGCATGGTGGCACATGCCTTTAATCCCAGTACTTGGAAGGCAGAGACAGGTGGGATCTTGGAGTTCAAGGCCAGCCTGGTCTACCTAGCGAGTTACAGGACAGCTGCAGCTACAGGGAGATCCTGTCTCAAAAAAGATAAAATTCTTCCACAGCCCTAGGAACCTAGGCCCATCATCCTTCTCATCTTCAGTTCTCTACATTTTTGTCTAGTGGTCCAGTAAAAGTCATGAAGATTGTATTTTATGGGTGATAAATCAATGTACATCAGAGCCTATCACCAGTATTTAATGAACAACCTAATACATCAAAAAACAGCTAAGAATATTAAATTATTTAATGTAAGAACAAATACAGTATCAAAAAACTTACATTTTGATAATCTTCATAACATGATGGATGATAAATCTGAAATAAAAAGAAAGAATAGCTATTCACACACATGTTCACTTCTAATAGGCTATTTCTAAAATGATTGCTTTCTTTAAACCAAAGGCAACAAAAATCATTTGGTCAAAATTAAAATTATTTTTTTTGTTTTGAAACAGGGTCTCCCTGTGGCCCCAACTGGCCTGGAACTCATTATGTAGACCAGGGACGGCTTTGAACTCACAGAGATCCGCCTGCCTCTGCCTCCCAAATGCTGGGACTACAGGCATGCACCACCATACCAGGGCCTAAAATTGATAATTAAAACCAAAACTTCTAACCTTACCTAACTCAAGTATAGTAGGAAAAATGATTTCTCTTTAACTTTGCTTCATGCATTTACGTGTCTAGCCTTTATTATTTTCAAGAAAGTAGCAGTTTTGATGATGAAATACAAATTCAAAATAGTGTGGCTAAGCAAAATAAATTCAGAAATGCCTAGTTCTGCATCTAGCATTAGCCTCTTCTATGACCTGCTATACAAAGTGTAGAATAATGCTGCTAAGAATTCCTCCAAACAGAAATATCCAATGACTTTAAAGTATATATTCTTTTTCACTAATCAAAAAACCAGAAATTATTACAAATCTTTCAAAATGGTGAGCTACTCTAACAAGAACATACACTTCCTTATAAAGTACAGAACTGGAAATTACCTTTCCATCTACCCTAATAGCATTTTTTAAGTGCCATTCCTCCTCCTCTTCATCCCAGTATTGTTCAAATTGTTCTTGACAGATTTCACAACTCTAAAATAGAATCATATAAAATGAAATTTACATACATTAAATAAATTTAAGAATGCTGTAAAATTTTAAGAAATCTCCAATAGATAAAAAAGAAAATGAGTTTTATGGATTTTGCCAACCTTCCAAGCAGAAAAGTTAACATTTAACTGTTGTTAGCCACAGATAGTATCTAAGTATAATAGTTACAAAATAGCTAAGATTGAGTTTTGTTTTCTATTTGTTTTATATATATATTTTATTATTTTTATTTTATCTATTTGAGTGTACTGCTTCCATGTACATGAGGGTACCCATGTCCAGCAATGCCCATGGAGGTCAGAAGAAGGCATCAGATCACCCCTGGAACTGGAGTTTGAGACAGTTGTTAGCTGCCATGTGGATGCTGAGAACTGAACCTGGGTCCTCTGGAAGAATAGCCAAGGCTCTTAACCACTGAACTATCTCTCCAATCCCAAGAATGAGTTCAAGAAATATTTTCTGTTGTTTTTTGTTTTATTCAAACAGGGTCTCCCTGTGGCCCCAGCTTGCCTGGAACTCACTACACTGACACTGTTGGCCTTGATCTCACAAAGAACCCCCAACTCAAAAGTGTGCACCACATGCCCAAGCCTTGTTTGCTTTGCTGAGACTGCATCTCACCATGAAGCCCTGGGTCTTGAATTCCATACGTAGACCAGGCTGGCCTGGAACTCAAGAAATCTGCCTGCCTCTTCCTCCCAAGTGCTAGGATTAAAGGCATGCACCACCAAGCAAGAACTCTTGTTTTGTTTGCAATATTTCTGGTAACCCTGGCTAGGCTCCAACTGGTTACATATGCTGAGACTGTCCTTGAACTCCTGATCCACCTGTCTTCACCTTCCAAGTGTTGGGATTATAAGTATGAATACTATGCCTGGACTAAGCAATCTTAAAATAATTTTAAAAGGTATTTAAATAAAGTATATGTTTATGATTTAAAGAAGTGAACATTTCCAGAGGCAGAATATAATTTAAATTATTACCTCAACTGCTCCAGCCGGTCCGGCGGGCACGCTTTGGAACTCCTTTTCTTTAGCAGCCTCCTGAGTTTTGAGGACGACTTCTTCATGAACCTTTTCGAAAAATTGGCTCTTTGCACGTTCTTCTAGATCAGCTATTTCCTCAAATTCTATCCAGTCCTTAAAAGGAATTAATGTACAAGAATATTTTCATTTGTATCTAAGCTTTTACTGCTTATCTTCAATGTAATCCTATTTAACTTCATACATATAATTTTTCTTTTAAAATTTTTTTACTGAAGTGCAATTTTAAAGCTAAGTTTGCACAGTATTTGAGTCTCAACAAAAAACAAAGACATAGTCTTCAAATTTATTTTATTTAAAAACCATATTCTGTACATCAAATTTTATTCAGAAAATTCATGTTAACTTCCAGCAATTTTCCGAATAAACTGAAGCCTAAACGATAATTCAGAGACATATAGATTACTTACTGTTAGACTGTAGTACCAACGTCTGTGAGTGACTTTTCTGCTAACATCTTTCTCAGTTCTATTTTGCCGATAATGCCAGTCCAAGTGATCAGCATATACGTCTGTCTGCGATGTTGTAAACCTCATTCCACAAGAGTAACACTGAATACCAGTGTATAGCCGGTTTATAACACTGTCGTAGCGTCTATTTTGGAAAAGAAAGTCTTCAATTTTGTGACATGATGATGGCTAAAACATTACAAACATTTCGGCTTTCTATTTTAACAAGAATCAAACCAAGACCTGCCTGAAACAGTTAATATCGGAAGATCAGTGTTACATAACTCTGATTGTAAAACATGAAGCCTACCTTCTTAATGATAGATTTGTCTTAGTTATTTCCTTTTGACTAAAAAATTCTATAGACTAGCTAATGAGTCAATAGTAAGTGGTCTGGTCTTAGCTTAAGAGTCACTATCAATGTAGCAGACATGGAAGAGAGACTTCACCTCTACATTTTAGTGTTTTGAATAATTCAAAAAGCAGCAGTAATAGTACAGATAACAGAAAAACTAAAGGCCAGTGAGTAATTAATCACCAACAATTCATTTTAAGATTCTGAATTCTCAGCCAGAAAAATGAGAAAGGCGCTTGCAGCACAAGCCTGAGTTAGAGCCCCCAAACCCACTTAAAAGTGCAAAGAACTGAAGTTTTTCTCTGACCTCCACAAACACACAAAACAAGGTGAGAGGATCAAGAATTGAAAGCCATCCTTGGCTCCTCAGCAAATTGGAGGCCAGCCTGGGCTACATGAAACCCTGTATCAATAACACACACAAAGTATAGCTTAATAAATAGGAAAACTAGCTAGTTAAAAGAATTTGAAAAGAAAAAAAAGTTGCCTGTAACAGGGCTGGACTGAAGAATAGTAGCAGTGGGAGATGGCATCTTTTACATAAAAGCTTTATGTGAAAACGTTACTATGAAGCAAATACTGATTTTAAAACAGTCAGCAGGATATGCTAAAGAGGCAGAAGCAGGAGGATCTGGAGTTCCAAGCCAGCATAGGCTACACATTTAGAGCTAGAGAGCTTGTGCAGCAGTTAAACAGTAAAACCCATCAGCAGGGTTTTGGTTCTTTTGTTAATTTGGTTGTTGAACTTTGGAAAAGTTAGCTATGTAGCCTGTGCTGGCCTTGAACTTTCTGTGATCTTCCTGCCTCAGCCTCCCAAGTGCTGGGATTATAGGTGTGTACCACACCATATCCATCTTGCTGTTTTATTATAAATGAGAAAGAACTAAGAATAAATCCACATACCGGAAACTTTAGTAAGAACTGAGGTCTAAAGAGATGACTCAGTGGTTAAGAGCACTGGCTGCTCTTGCAGAGGACCCAGGTTCAATTCCCAGCACCCACATGGCAGCTAATCACCATCCGTAACTCCAGTTCCAGAGGAATCTAACTCCCTCCTGACCTCCATGGGCATTGCACGACACAAGTGCAATACTCATGCAATACTCATAACGAATTATAGAAAACAGAAAATTATTAACAAGTACCTGCCTCACACATAAAATAATAATTTAGAATAGATTACATACTGTTTTAATTCTTCTATTGTGAAATTAGTAAGATCTGGAACATCTTGATCTTCATTTTGATCTTCTTCCTCTTCAGCGGGAGGCTGAGCAGCAACTTCATTTACTTCTACAGTTGAGAAGAGATAAATTTCTCAATACTATAGTTCATGTGTTCTTTAAAGATAACGATAGTTACAAGCATATAGAGAAATTAATCTATTAAGCACATGTAATATGAAGATGAGTCAATTATATTTGATTTCTAAGAAATACCAAACTTAAAAGGTATACAAATTCTACGTATAGAACTTTCTATATGTAGAACTTCTATGTATAGAACATCATTGTACCACATAATGCATCTCTAAACAAAGCTTAGTATACATAAAGTATAAAACCATACTTACGTGTCGTAGCTGAATCGGGCTGTGACAATTTAAGAATTCCTGTTTTTAGCAGTTTTGAAAACAACTCATTTACATCCACCTGACTGAGATGATTATCAGGATATGCCTTAGGAAGTCCTCCTTTAAAAAAAATAATAACATTCTTAAAGTGAAAGCAGAACTTGTAGATTCACATTAAGCATTTTTTTTTTTTTTATCTTTTTTAAGACAGGGTCTTCCTGTAGCCCCAGCTGGCCTGGAACTCACAGAAATCCGCCTGCCTCTGCCTCCCAAATTCTGGGATTATATATGTATAAAATCTAAATATTAAACATACTCTTGTTCCATGCCAAATAAAAGCAGGGTATAGAGGGCAGGAAACCTGATGTTACTGCCTATGCAATGCAACAGCATGCCTAGGTCCAATTTCCACCTTTCTAATTCTCTAGTCCTGACCTAACAACCTTGAAAAAGTAATTTTGTATATTTCTAGGGGAAAAAAAAAAACAAACACAAAAAGACCAAAGCCAAAGTGGAAGTACTCCTGACCCCACTGATCCACACTGATACAAGGGCTATGAGCCACGCAGCACAGAGGTTACCAGCCAATATGACATTTACTGAACTGCCCTTGCAAAGTAATCAGACTATTACTGAACAGTGTTAACCTTGCTTTAAGAATTTGAGTAAGACAACAATCTAAAATTCAGTCCAATACTGTATTTTGCTAGCACTATTCTATAAATATCGATGCTTTCACTCAGCTATAAAAACAGCTCAGTGATAGACTACTTTCCTAGCACACTCAAGACCCTATATTTGAGTTCTAACACCATTTAAAAACATCTACTTTAGTGTTTACCAATATCATCGACCTTCCTGTACCTCTAGAAAAAAGTTCTGAGTCACTAAATGTTTCACTTAATGGCAGGTTCAATTTATATCCTTAATAGATATGGTCCCTACCCTTAACTATTAGATATACTTTATCAGAGTACCTTTATATATATCTAATTAATCAATATCCACTCAAATATCTGAAATGCACAAGTAAATCAACCTCAATAGTTACAATACCATCTTATACATTAGTTTAATATTTGTATTCCATTATGAGGGATAATTAGCTATTTGCTTGTTTGGATATAGCCAAGTTTAGTAGTCATCAAGAAGAGCATTAACCGTGATTCCAACTCCAAGGATTCTAGCTAGAAATTATACTTTCAAATTGTGAGACATGATCTAGATGCTTATCTGACTAAATTTCTACTACTTATAAAAGAGCTAATAGTTCCTAAGTTTGTTATAGGATTAAATAAATTAATATTTGAGGTAATAATGTATTATTTGGCACTGTATATAGTATTTAAGAAAAAACATTTCTGATCTGCTACACTAGAAAAGTCTTTCAAGAATAAATCTTATTAAAATTCCTCCTAGCAGCCAGGTGTGGTAAGCACATGCCTTTGATCCCAGCACTTGGGAGACAGAGGCAGGCAGATATCCGTGAGTTCAAGGCCAGCCTGGTCTACCTAGTGAGTTCCAAGCCACTTAACTCATTCCCTCATCCAATATTCTCTCTACAGGGAAACCCTGTCTCAAAAGACCAAAAAAAAAAAAAAAAAATCCTCTACAGCAAATGGCTGCTCTGAGTAAGTAAGTGAACAAGAATACAACTCAAATTAGAGAAAGATTTTTCTTTTCAATTATGTATTAGTGGGGGAGAAATATGCACATGGAGTGCAGATGCCTGCAGAGGTCAGAGGCATGTTGGATACCCTGGAGCTAGAGTTACAAGCAGCTGCCTGATGTGGGTGCTGCATCCAAACTCAATTCCTCTAGAACAGCAGTACCTGCTCTTAACTGCTGAACCATCTTCTCCCTCCCCATAGACTCTTAAAAGAAGCAAAATATGGCCTACTCTGTAGGGCAGTCCATAGCACCTGAATTAAGTAGGACGTAAAGGAAAACATACCTAATGCCTCATCCAATATTCCCAACACAGAGAACAAAATGTCATTTCTTCAATAACACTGCTATCCCCTGTACATGTAAGTATATAACTCAATATTCCAAAAGCCATAAGAAGGGCTGGAGAGCTGGTGCAGCCATTAAAGGCTCAGACTCACAACTAAAAGCCTTAAGAAAATCTGCAGTTTTTACACATTGCTCATGCCATTAACCTCAATATAACAAACTATTAAACAAGAAAAACTGGTTTCTAGAGGAAAATACATTCACCTAGCATCTATATATTACAAAGTACTTTCGCATATCTATCTCATTTTATCTTCTTAAAAAAAAAAAAAATTCCAACCCCCTTTTATAGAAGAAGAAACTGAACAGCAGGGACAACACTGTTCATGCTCTGGCCCAACTATAAAGCAACAGGTACTAATTCTGGTCTTCTAACTTTAGATCACAAATCCTTTCCTTTTCATTACAAGAAAAAATATGCATTAACTAATTAACTATTTAGTGTCCATCTGGAAATTAAAAGACTTCATATTAATTTCAAACTAATAAAATTTTAAGTGCTAATGGATAAAATACAGCTTCATTAGAACTTG